CAAACGCGATTCATTCACTTGGTGAGCATAACCGTTTTTACAGCTCCGTGACACAACCCGCACAACCCGTTATATAAACGCCGCTGAATAAGCCTTAAAAAGTTATCAGAGGTGCAAAAGCGCGTTCATAGCGTTCATATCGATGCAGAGTGCAAATGGCTGTGCTTTTGTGTTAGACTGAATGTCAATGACACGATTCAATTTGTATTTATAATCTGCCTAAAAATGGGTGAGACGCGAGTGAAGTTTCAGAAAAGTAATGGGGTGCATACCAGAAAGCAAGGTCAACCATCACATATACCATGAACTCTTAGCTGATTGACCCAAACCTTGACCCAAAAAGAGTTGGGGTACTCGTACAAGAGTACAGCTTTTTTTAAAAGGACTTGGACTTTACTCGGATCATTGTTACTCGGACTCGAATCCATCACACCAAAACCACCAAAACCAGATCATGGCTCCAAAACCATGATCTGTAGCAAAGACTTTAGAAATACAAAGACTATGCACTCATATTACTATAAATGGGAGAAAGTGCAACACGAAGTATGGTGAATAAGTCCCACTTTCTGAGTAAATGAGCTAGTCACTGATTGATGAAGTCACTGCAGCTGCCGTTAGAAGCTCTGGTTCTAGAAATACTCAGTGCCCACAGAAGCACGATTAGCACTACACATGTGCACTTGCTGGTCCAGCTTCAATTATTATTTTTTCATGACTCAAGCGTATAGAAACAAAATTTATGAGACCGTTGTTCTCAGATCTTCATTGGTAATTTCAAATGAGACATTTAATCGTAAGCTTGGTGAACAGCTTTGAAGAATTTGATGTGTCTCCATTCAAAGAGATAGGAGCTGCACTTGCATGCCCTAAAGGTGTTTCAAAGATAGCCTGAAAGGGACTTTGCTTAGTATTCAGTCAACTAAGTTTACAGTCAATATATCACCATGGACATGGACACCAAGAAGAAGCTCATCTGTTTTTGTTTAATTGTGATTTACATGAGCAGATATCCACACTTAAAGGGCGATGAAACCCCAGACTACTTTTTCTGAGATGTTAGCAGATGTGTTTGTGTTGCACATCATAGAAGACAATGTTAGCATCCCATAATAAAAACTGTTGGAGAAAACTGGTCCATTTTAAGCTTTTCTGCGCTATTTTCATCTTCCACAATTTGTGACGCGGCAAAGGACTAATAGTACATCAATGACGCATTAACTGAGCACATTAGCACTTCAGCACATTAACTGAGAGAAACGTTCATGGATCGGAGGAGAGTGTTTGTTTTTGCTTTGTAATAATAGTTCGGCACAAACGTGATTCATTCACTTGGTGAGTATAACTGTTCTTACAGCTCCGTGACACAACCCGTCAAAAGGCTTATATAAACGCCGCTGAATAAGCCTTAAAAAGTTATCAGAGGTGCAAAAGCGCGTTCATATATATGTTTTCGATGGAGAGTGCAAATGGCTGTGCATTTATTTGTGTTTTTAACTCGATGGGAGCGAAATTAAACTGTCTGAACGTGAAGCTGTGTGTGTTGTGTCTCCTCTCTTCCCCCTCCACTCCGCAGCACACCACGCCCACTTTTTTAGCGTTTTTTTAAACTGTGGTGAGAACTAACCAGTGCTGAAACAGGGGGTTTCATGACCCTTTAAGGTCTGATCAGACTGTTTATAAATGAGGGGAAACTGTTTCTAACATAACTGTGTAGTGGTGTGTGCTCAGTTATCAAAACTCATCATGAACAGAAATGCACACAAAGTCTGATTAAGTCACAAAATGTTATAAAACTCTCCTGTTTATTGAAAGTTGTAGAGCTGCATTTTTGTCTCATGAGCTGAACTTCACGTGCACTTTGTGTGTCTACCCTCTTCTATCCGACTGTGTTGTCACAACAGTAGGTTATAGTTCACAGAAATCCAGAATAAGCCATTCAATCTGAATAAGGCATTTATTGTCATGTTTGAATGTTTGATCAATGTTTGATTCCTGGACTTTTCAAATGAACAGAGAGCTGAAAAGAACATGTACACGAAGCATATATAAATGTAGCTGCTTCATTATCACAGAACAGGTCTTACCAGTAGGGCGTCCCAATGAAGGATTTCCTTTTCGCCATGGTGGCCGTTATTTTAGCAGCCACTCCAAAGTCCGCTGCAAAACAGGAAGATTTTTTTTTAACATTCAATTCAGTACCACACAAAAACACACCCTGCAATTATAGCGTGACCCTCTCACCTAATTTGACATCTCCATTGTCGGTGAGCAGAATATTCGCCCCCTATTGCACAATGAGTTGAGAGTTATTAACTGGCATGAAAAAGATAGTTTGAAACAGGTAGAACGCCAATATAATAAACACATATACTAATTATGAAGCTGTATTACCTTGATGTCTCTGTGCATCTTGCCTTTGGAGTGCAGATAAGCAAGACCCTAAACACACACACACACACTCAAATTAATTCAAGATGTTTAAAGGCTTAATTTAATAATACAAAAATTATTAACAGCATTAGACCATGTGAAGGATGTGAACAATGTTGGAAGGATCTTACCTGTAACGTCTCTCTGCACACATAGGCAATCTGAAGTTCAGAGAGCGGACCTGTAACTGAACATGTACACAAACACACACATATTTAGCAGTGACAGGATAAAAAAATGGAGGGTGTATATTTTCAAAACACACAACCAGTTTACCATGATAAATGTCTTGTAAGGATCCTCCACCGCAGTATTCCATACAAATCCACAACTTCTCACGGCTAGAATGAAACAGAGAATCATAAATCTTTAAGATAACGTGGGGCATTTAAATAAATCTTTAATCTTTTGAATATCTGAAATCGTATGTTTTATAATCTCAATAAAATGTAGGCATCTAAAATACTTCATTTATAGACAAATCCAGTTATTTGTTACCAGAGGTAGCTGCCAAAGTAAGCCACAATGTTGTGATGGGTGCATTCCTTCACCATAAAAATCTCTTGCTGGATGATTGAGAAATCATCACCTAAAAGAGAGAGGAATCAATATATGAGAGCAGTATAAATTAAACAGTGAAAAGAAAAACGGAGTGCTCGAATCAGATATGGACAGCAGATGGCTGGATGTTGAGTGCTGAGAGTGATTATTATGATCATGAAATGAGGGAGAACTCGTGTAAATTTTCATTTACTTCTCCTGAGCGGATTTTTGTGATTTAGTTACCACACACAAAAAAGACTTCCATTCACTCATTCACTCTTTGATCTCTTCACCCTCCTCATCTCTAATGCTAAATAAAGCCTGCGAGTGTGATGGGTTTCCCCTCGTCTCTTCCAATAATACAGATAATTAGCTTAACTTCCTTCTGAATCCGTGTTAATACCAACACACGTCATGACAACACTCGGGTCTCTTCACGAATGAATCTAAAACTGTCAAAGTATCATTTATGACTATCATATTTGCCTGATGTGTCATTATTCCTATTATTCTTATTTGTTTCGGATTGAGTTGAACTGGAGTTTGTGGATTTATTTTTAGTATGAACACTAAAACACTTACTTATTATTAAACACTTACTGCTTTGTATATAATTCTTGAGAAAAAAATAAACAATACACTAAAGAAGGCAGATATATATACACACCTTATTTGTTCCACCACAGGACCACTTAAGTCAATTTTTATGTGATTTAAACATTTTAAATAAAAACTTGGTCTCTAAAATCTCAAGTCAAATACTTCAATGATGTGAAATATAAAAGAAGAATAAAGATGCTATCAGCCAAACCTCAAACTTCACAACCTGCTTCGTTAAAGGAGTGACTCACACACCTTTATGTTTTAAACAGCTTTCATTCATCGTGTGACTCGAAGACCTGGCATTTTTGCCCAAGCACATGATCTGTTTATGACTTAATGGCTGATACAGTAAATACTGCATTGTTTCCTGTAGGTGGTGCTGTTTCCTGTACATTTGAGAATTGTTCATCCTGATACTCTCAGAATCTCTTGATCTGTTCATGACAGCAGAAAATCTCATCACTCATGATGATAGCATACTTTTTTACAGATAAAAAAAGAAAATACAAATATGATGGAGAAATGTGTCTTCCCTTAAAATATACAACAAAGTGAAATATGAATAACTAGATTTTTAAAGGGGTCATATGATGCTGCTAAAAAGAACATTATTTCATTTTTTCCAAAAACAGCCTTTCGATAGATTGTATAACCTCAACCCAATAATGGATGTTAACTGGCTGTAGCCACTTCTCTATTCTGCTGCAGACCTTTAACTTAGAAACTCGCACACAAAACACAACCATCTCTGTTTCACACGACTCTATGATGAGAAACCAAAAAAATAACATCGCGGTCAGAACAGTAATGACTGGAAGGAACAATCAGACACACTGCATTTTAACACCTCATTCCCAGTACATCAGTAGCATCACAGTGTATGTGTGTGTGACAAACAAGAATCAGCATAGCTATGAAGTCAAGCCTAACAGCTCTGACCACTTCCTCTCCGCTCAAGACAAACAGGCCATGCCCAAGAGAGTGCGTCTGTGAGATAATGTGAGCCTGTGTGTGTGTCGAAGACAGCAGCAGGGCCTGAGGGTTTGTCTGCTGAAAGCTGAACTCAGGCAGCTTCCTCTGAGCTTGATGCACTTCTCAGAAATCAAGCTGTTAGTATTTACTAGTAGTGTCAGTTGTAATAAATCAAGCTATCCATATACCCGTCCCCTTTTGCTACAATCACCCAGCTCCTCGATCTTTTGGATTAGAATTCCCACATGCGCTAAACTAATTACAGATTGGAGGATACGCCACTCTATAAGATTATCACTGTAACTCATCATCATTATACAACCATTTAAATTGACGTGTTGGAAATTCTTTACAAATATCACAAATGTCCTGAATTCACACAGTAATGCAGATTTTGAAATGAACATTAATTTAAAAATATTTTTAAGAAATAGTTCACCTAAAAACAGGGCTCCAGACTCACTCTTCCCACTGGTCGCTCTTTTGCGACTAACTTTCTCAGTTCGCACGAGCACATGATTTAGTCGCAATTTTATTTTATTTTTTTGCTACAACATGGGTTAAATCAATGCATGCTGATGAACTTATTATAGTTTATAGTTATATGGAAACGAAAGTGGTTAACATTCAACCTGTTCTTTTTCTTCAGTATTTGTGATTTGAATTTTGTAAACGGGAGTTCCTCTTTTGCCGTGTTATAAGCCGGGCTTGGGATGCTTTCACTTTTGAATTCGCGATCTTGTCACGTTTTACAAGAAAATATATTTGTCTGATTCGCTTACATACATCCAGTGGCGGACTGGCCATCTGGAGCACCGGGAGTTTTCCCGGTGGGCCGCTGTACAATGTGGGCCGGCCCATTGCGTAAATATAAAGAATGAATTATAGTAAATATATGTAGCCTATAGCCTTCCATCGGCCCATACGAACGCCCAGCGGCCCATTTGAATCAAACATTCTAATTAATTTAGCGTGCTCCGGCTCACGCAGCGGCTCAAAAGCGCTCGTCAATGTCAAAATGTTTGAAATAGCCAATCAAATCGAAGAAGGCGGGATTTACTGTTCACAGACAGGGTTGGGTACCGAAACCCGTATGTACTAAAACCGAATCAGAACGCAGATTTCGGTGCCACTTAAATGCTTGAGCGATCGATTTAAATATTTGTTCTCTGGTTCTCCTAAACGGACGTAAGGATCACCGGCACCGCATGTGAAAAATAATTTCCCCACTGAGAAAATTCATGAAAGCAAGTCGGAAAGCTCTAATAACACAAATCCAACACATCTTTGTAGTAACGCGAATGTCCATGTTGTTTTCACATTCCGACTT